TCTGGGGCAATATTTGCTTGAAAGCTAACCAAAAGTTAAGGTAGCTAATTTGTTTCGCAACTGGAATTGAAAGTTTGTGTTGCCACATTTGCTAGCAAAGAATTTAAATTAGCACAAAGCTAATGTTGGCTAATGTGTGACCGTGCCCTAACATATTCAAGATACACATAAAACACTGAGTATCTCTCTTACAACAGCACCGTAATAAGTCTAGTAGATTGCTAGACTATGATTTGACAATTGCCATGTGGGAGGGATCTAGAAACCATTAATTTAGAAGAATGTTCATGTTTACTTAGTTAATAGCAGCAATGAATATAGCAAGATTAATTTGTGATCATGATTTCAAAGGTTTTATGTTGGTTTTATTTAGTCATCATGACTCAAATTATACACTTGTATTGAGACTTTTGTTTTCCATTAACTCTCGGTAAATCATTTTTCACCCCAGCACCTTTGCCACATGATATGCTAATCCCAGTATGATGAAATCAGCAAGTGAAAACTGGTGAGAGAGATTTGGCGACGTATAATTAGAAACATGGAAAGAGAGTGACAAAATGTGATAAATCCAGATAAAAGCGGGTAGACCTGTAGCTCATTTTCTGTCTTAATTGGTTCTTTTATGGTTCTCAATGTAAAATGCATTTGACCATGTTAAATGTGTATCTTTGTGTGCGTGTGCACATGTGTGGATTCTGTTTTGATCAAAGAGCTGATTTAGTCGGTGGACGTGTTCCAGAGAGCAGCTCTGCCTTTGTAATTATACCAACAATTAGAAGCAGCACCATGACAGTCCATTTTAGTCTAATTCATCCATGTTTTGCTTTTATCTTCTAATTAAATGGACTCCTTCTATCCTTCGTTCTTCTTTTTTATTCTATTCCTTTTTCTTCCCCAAATAATACTGCTCCTGACTTGTCTAGTGGAATTTCTGTGCTTAACTTAGATCAGATGCAAAAGGGTTGACACCATGCTCCCTTTACATACTATTTAGCACATGCTAGGCAGCTAGCAGACAGAAGGCTATGAAGTCTGGATTTTCTTAATCTTCAGAGTGACATCTTAAGAAGGCTTTGCTTTCAGTCTCTCTTTTCCTCCTCTCATCTACTCCTCTCCTTGTCTTGTCTTTCTTAAATGTATTTATTTGTTCCTCTTGTCCTGCTCTCCATAGGGCTGTCACCGGGAGTTCAGCACCAAATTGTCATGGTGTCATTGTTTTCTCATGAAGAGGGTTATCACTTGCCTTTAAGAAAGACATCTTGATGAAATAGGGTCAGCACTGTTTCATCATTAGGATTTCAAGGCCTCTCTTAAGAAGTCCATTTTAATTCAGATATTTGTCTCTCATGTGTCCCAAACTTGGTTTCAGTTGTTTAAGTCCAATATGGATAGTATTTACAAAAGAGGACACAAACAAAACAACCTCAAGGCCGAAGTCTTTGAGGCGAAAACATTTCTGTAAAAGTTCTTAAAAAGCTAGACATCTTCTCATTGCTTCCAGTATCTTTTAATGCCGTTTGTTTTATTCCTGCCTTTTTATCCCCCTGATCTCTTGACACATATTCCTGTGTCCAACAATGGTAAGAGTTACCCAGCAGTGAAGAATCTGGTATTGATCTAGATATTTAGACAGTGAATGGGAGCAAGCGAGATTTTTGCAAATCAGCGTGAGAACTCTGGGAGCACTAGGGGTCTTGAAGGATGAAGAGTGGGCCGATCACTTTCACAAATGTCAGCAGTGGATAACCGTTGTGACTCAGTATGTAGCAAACTGTGTGGGGAACCCAACTTGTGGCTTTGATATGATGCACATTGAAATTGTTGCGGCTTACACAACCAACAAAGACTGGTTCAGCTTGGTAGAGAATGCAGTTTAACTGTTATTTAGAGTACTAGTGTGTGGGCTTTAGGGGGATGTGTTGTCAGAAATATGATATAATAGTCAATTTGAGGTTTTCATTGGCTTGTAATTACGTAAACCTAGGGTTGTAAATATAGTGAGTGGGTTGTCTTTATGGATGAGGCTGTAATGCTCAAAATGACATCCTGACATTTAGTTGTAACAATCGGGTTCAAAACTAATTGCGCTTAGACATGCATTGCTTTCCCATGGCTAATTTAATATAAGGATGTGAAGCATGGGCAGTAGGGTGTTTGTTTAACATTAGCATTACAAATATCTTAATACAGGTCTGTCACTCTGTTAAAGAGGCCCTCTTGTGCTTTTTTGGATTGTCCCTTTCCTGTAGTGTGGTACAGGTTTTATTGCGTGTAAATGGTCCCGCTAAGGCAAACATTTTGGAAGGAAAAGTTCCTTCCAGAGGGAGTTTCTCTCCCACACACTCCGTCTGAAACACCTCCATTGTAGTCCTTTGTTTACTTAAGTGACAGTGACATGACACCACTAACACTCACGCTTCTATTGGCTGGCACTCAAACACACTACAGGCTAAGGGGCGGGACATCTCTAAGCGGTTCATCAATCACAACAGATGCTGCCAGCTAACAAATCAGAGCAGACTGGGCCCTGGTCTCAGACAGAGGGTTAAAAGAGGGGCTGCAGTAGAGGAAGTATGAGAAAAATAAAGAGCTTTTTGAATTAAAGCATGTAAACAAGTCACAATCGCGGAACAACATATAATTATTAAACCTGAAAATAAGCAGAATACTGTAAAGGATGGTATAATAATAATAATGTATTTGATTTCTATAGCGCTTTTCTTGAACCCAAAGACGCTTATACATGAGATTAGCTTTCAAACATTAACAAAGGTCGCTGTAAATCCCTCATACGCTTTCTGAACCCTACACTGTAAAATGTTTGGCTGTAAAATTACAGTAAATTACTGGCTACTAGTTGCATGGATTTCACAGTAATTGACTGTAAATATTTCACAGTAAATTAGAATAAAAGTACAACTACATACTGTGACTTTACAGTTGCCATGCCCATGGAATTACTGTGATATAGCAGTACAGAGCTGTGGTATTATGGTACCTTGCTGTACATAAATTACAGTAATTACTTGTATTTTCACACTTTTACTGTAGAAGTAATGCAACACATTAGCCAGTAATTTACTGTAAATATAAAAATGTAAATAATACGATATTATATTGTAAATCTGACTAGTTCACTGGGATTTTACCATAACTACACAATTCAAGCAGCTCAATCTACAAAGAAAAACAAAGAAAATGCCCATTTTAACTTTGTATTACTCCATTGAAGTGCAAAGTACATTTCACAGTGTCTTGGACATGTTACGGCCCCAACCTCTACTCCACGGTAGTGGCTCGTGCTGAGACCCGCAACATGAAAGAATACACGCAATAACCGGTACTTGGTAACGAGCATTTATTGATAATCAGCAGTTTGCTCACACAAGCGAAACGGGAAACAACAAGAGGTCTGGAGGAGTGGCCAAAAGGAACAAACAGAAGGAGGGAACCCGAGCCAGCCACACCACGGGCCGTAGGATTCAGAGCTCCCCCCAACCAGAAATCAATTATAAACCCTATGGGAAACAAAATAAGGCTGCAAAAACTGGACTACAGCTCAAAATGGCAAAGAGGTATTCTAAGGAGAGTGTCTCCCGGCGTTAGGAAAGGGCGAGACATCCTTCTCCTCCAGCTTCTCTTTATATACACGGCTGAGAGGAATTTGGAACACCTGGGCAGAGGCGGAGCCAGGGGCAGACCAGGTGCACCTGCGCAGCAGGGGGACAGAAAAGAAAACAAGGAGGGGAGCACATGTCTACACAGACATCCACTCGAAGTCAACAATTTTCTGAAGAATGTGCTGACATGGGGGTTTAAATTGCCATGCCTCTTTTTGGCTTTCGAGCCCGTCTCAGGATTAATGCCCAGGAAGCACCTGAAAACAATAAGCCAAGACAACAATTTCAATTTTACATATATTTATATGTTGCATAGTATATTTTAAGGCACATGCCCCTTTCAATTTAAGTAAAACCTGCACCAAAGAAATAAATTAGTATTTAAAGCCAAGCAAGAGCGATAAAAGCAAGAAAATCACTTAATTTGTTGTGTTATCACAGAGGATGGTCTGAATACAGTATTTTACTATGAAATAATACAGTAACATGTTGGGAAATCCTGGTAATCATTTATCCTGTACATTCACAGTAATTAACTGAATGTATTGATTTCACTGTGAAATTCTAAATTACAGTGTTATATTGTGAACATTACAGGTAAAGACTGTAAAGTGGTAAAACAGTAATTTATTGTAAAATATTACAGCTAAATATTGTGAAATCATGGTAATATTTTACAGTGTAGTGGGAATCGTGGAATACACCACTCAAAAGGGAAAAAATACAATACAAATGGTGGTTACCGGATGCAACTCAATGGCTGTTGGTGACAAAGTGCTTTAATAGCCTCAAAACACAAAAGTTTACTAATTTAAAAATGTATAATAAATGTAGCAACTATGGCACAGAGTTTAGAAAAAACCCTGGGTTGGGATCTATGTTACATATCACTGAGGATTTAGTTTAAAGGAAAAATAAGTGAATTTCAGATTGGCGGAAAACACTAGCGGAACAAGCAACTTCTTCCACAACACTTTTCCTCACCTGTGCTAAGAAAAAGCAAACTTTCAGCATGTCATGCCTACCCTCAGGCAACAGTCTTCAACTCCTCTGCACTAAGTTAAAATAGCTTGCTGTGCATTCTGTTGGGTAGACATGCTGATGTTATGCCTCAGGCCTACAGACTCTTTCCTAGATAATTAGTAAACAAGGCCCTTTTCCTATTTTTGCTGTGCATACAACCACACCACCAATCAACCACAGTCCAACAAACACATACCTATATTTAGAAATATATTATGATGAATTGTGCACTCGTGAATGGACCTACTCAGCCGCCAACACCAACCTAGAAAAGAGGACATGTTAGTCACTGTGGTTAGTTTAGTTAATGTTCAAATACCACCTGTACATAATGCTACCTGTCTGTCATTAAAGGAAGCAGCCAGCAAAGGATCCTAAAGTCCAGATGACGGAGTATCTACTTATTCAGGCTGGACATGGGTGCTTCCTGCTCTGAAGAGTTGTCAATGCTGTACCAAGTCCTACAAAGTAACGCCAACAACTCATGTCACAGACTTTTTCAAAGTAGACTTTTAACTTGGATGATCTGAGCAGAGGAGCTGTAATCCTAAGAGACCTCTTTATAGATGATTCATGAAATATTTGAAAACACTCACCTAACAACTCAAAAGAGCTAGTGATGTGTAGCATCAAAACTGAGAGAGGCGAGTGTCTCCTTTTCTCACAGTTCTGTGATTGATTAGCCAGCCTTTCAGACTTCTTAGAGAGACACTTTTTCTTTCAGTCTCTTCTTTCCTTTCATTTATCAACATCCAGTCTCTGATCACTTTCTCTGCCCCTCTCTACCCTTTCTGTCGGTTGCAGGCTGCTTCTCATCCAAGGCAGAGGACCGGCTCTTCAGGAAACTCTTCAGAAGATATAACCAGTTCATCCGACCAGTGGAGAATGTGTCTGACCCCGTTACTGTGGAGTTTGAGGTCTCCATCTCACAGCTGGTCAAAGTTGTAAGCTTTACATCCAAACACATCTTTTTTAATCATAACTTGTACGCAAAGCTTGTAAAGACTCAACAATATGTCAAGGTGTTTAAACCTTGTGCCTTCATTTTTATATCTCTTTGGCTTTGCTAATGCATATGATATTGATTTTGGCGAGGGAAAATTCAACCTCAGCTCCTTAAGTAAGTCTATAACTTAATGTGCTCGTGTTTGGTACACACAAACACAAGCACATTTCTCCCATTTTATCTTCACTTCACTGGCTGCCCGTTCATTCGAGGATTCATTTTAAAACTCTTTTATTTACTTTTAAAGCCCTCAATGGCCTGGCCCCGCCCTACCTCTCTGAGCTGTTACACAGCTACACTCGCACTCTCAGGTCAGCTGATCAGTTGCTCCTGAGGGTGCCAAAAACAAAGTAAAAGCGCAGAGGGGCTTTCTCTGCTGCCGCCCCTAAACTGTGGAACGACCTGCCCTTGCTAATCAGACAGGCTCCCACACTGTCCCGTCTTAAAACCCACCTTTTCTCCTTAGCATTCGTAAACAAGTAGATTGTTGCTTTTATTTGCTTTCAGTGGTCTATTGTTTTAACTATATGGCTGTTTTTATGCGATTTTATACTTATTTGTATGTTTTGTGAGCTGAGCTGTGTGATTCTATATGTTATGTATCTCTCTGTACAGCACTTAGGTCTGGAGGTTTTAAAGTGCTTCATAAATAAAGTTGGATTGGATAATAAACTGTGTAGCCAGAGTACAGACCCTTAATGAGGTCCCAATTAAAACTAATCAAAACCACAGTTTTGGAACCCATTGCTAATGTTGCGTAACATTATGCATTTCAATATATTAGGCTTTCAAACTAGAGTCCAGGCTTGAAAATGGTAATTTTAAAGAGGCCTTTATGTGCTCTTTGGGGTTTTTCGTTTCCTGTATTCTGTTATCAATGGTCTCCAAATGATAAAATCCCAAAGTTCTCTTTAGAGGGAGTTTCTCTACCATACACTGCCAGTAACGCCTCCATTAGACTTCTACTTTCCAAACAAAGTTACATCACTTCTAGGCAGGGTTGGGAGGGTTACTTTGTAAATGTAATTAGTGAATAGTGAATACATGCTCTGAAATTAATCCGAATACAGTTACAGTTACGTGTCTTAAAAAACGTATTCAGATTACTTTTAGAATACTTTTGGAATACTTTATTTTTCCATAACAGATGGGTATGTTTTGGTGAACAGGAGACACATATTTTACTGTTTTAAAGCACAACTCAAACACGACATCTTGGTGTCATTCTGGACAGCTCCCTCTCATCTGCACCCACATCCCCCGGACTGCATTCTTTGTACTGTCTTAGGCCTTTCCTTAGAATACTTTATGAATTGTAAGGTGTCCTTGGGTGCTTTGAAAGGCACCTCTAAATAGAATGAATTATCATTATTATTATTATTATCTGAAACGATGTAATAACTTTTTTTTACTTTTTTCCAGTCACTTGCATTCAGCAGCATTATTTCGACAATAAAGAAATGCTACATACACGTTATCTTGCACATTCTATTGAACCATCTCCGTTTCTAACTTTCAATATATTTTAAATACAAATTTAAATTCTCATCTGCGTGCGGGGGGCGGGGCCTCACAGACCTCTCTCTCTCTCTCTCTCTTTGGAGTACAAAAACAATCCTGATATAATAAGAAAGCTAGGAATATCCTCTTTCTAACAGTGTATACAACTCAAAATGTGTCTTCGGGTCAATGCGACTGATTTCGATAGAGCAGGTCACATATGTGTAATTCGTTGCACAATTCAAACGGGATCAAAAGATAATCTTTCTCTCTCCATTGACTTCAATACATGATTTTTCCGAAATAAGGTCCCATGGAGGTCCCCCGGAAGGGGAGGGACTTTGCCACTCTATATGTGTGCTTATGCTAACATCATAAGACAAAAGTTGGTTCCGTGTTGTGTGTAGTGAGAACGTGCTAGAGTGAGGGGGGGCCCCAAGCCAAAGCTTGCTTAGGGCCCCCAAAGGTCTAGGGCCAGCCCTGGTCCCAGGTATTAGCTGTAGTAGGGATTCAATAGTTTGAATCATGTCAGCTTTCTCTTAATCTTCTTGTGTGAAATGTTGCTTTTACCGCAATGCATGGAGCGAGTTTCAGAGTTCTCAGGTAAATGCACCATAACACTTTCTTATATTTCCTGTACTTGGTAGGCAACACACAAACAAACAAACAATTCATTCTCGAGTACCATTGCCTCAACACTAAATGGTCAGTCCATTTATTTAGCATCTCCCCATCGGATGCACATATGATACGTTATTACATTACATTCTTTTGCACTTTCAATGTCAACCAACATCAGTAATAGGTTTGCTCACTCAAGCCCTTACAGTGCAGCACCTGTTAAAACCTCTTAAGCCCCACGGACCCGGTTCCGGGGCCGAAATCGCGTGATTTGCAGGAAACAACGTCTAAGGAACCTTAATATTTAATAAACTATGAATATTTTATATCCATATAACCGAAAAAAACTAATTTAACTGATCTTTTTTTTTTTTTTTTAAACACACAATGCTAACACTGACCCTCTGAATTAGCCCCGAGCGAAAAATGCTAACCTATTACTGTACCGAAAATCACTCCCTTATTACTTATCCTAGGTGCACATCCAACACATCGTGTAAAGACACAGAATCTAACGGTGCCCACCTCAACACTGAAAGATACAAACTCGCAACGTTATCAACAAAAACGTACATCAAAACATGTGGCGCTAGGTAGCCACAACCGCTAACATGGCTTACCTTGGTCAAAACTGGTCTTCAATGGCATTAAAACGATAAAAACCGATGCTGTAGTTAATCCATAGGTTAATATCCAATGTGACTGTGTCCCCTTTGAAATGTTCTGATAATTTATAAGCAATAAAACTGCTTTTCCTTTTCTAGAAGTCAGAGCAGGGATATTCCTACCCTCTGCAACAAGATTGCATGCGCAGAGACGCCAGCTTTTTGTTTTAACATGAGAGTCTATGGGACGATTTCCCTTCGATTCTATTGGCTCTAACGGTCAGGAAGAGATGTCACATGTCAAAATCGAACAAGGGGGGCCAGAGATAGGTCAAATCCACCCAAATGGCCCCAGAAGAGTTTTTTGTTGCTAAATCTGTCTAAAAAGGTCAAATATAACTTGTTTTGCATCAATCTTGATACAGGGTACTTATTATATGTTGTACTTTGGACTCCTAAAGCTTTTAGTCTACTAACCCAACATCCAAGGTTAGTTTTCACCAGTGGTGTAGTGGGGATTTTTTTACTGGGGGGGACGCTATTTTAATTAGGTCATCCCAACCAATGCCACACAAGTGCGCATGCGCGCAGTGCACTCACAAAACGGGCAGACAGGTCCACAGAAACTACCGGTATGCTTAGTCCTACTTTAGTTACTAGACTGCAAAAAGCAGACGGCGCTGTGCTCAACACACACACAGACTCAAAACCATGGACACACTGGCACATAAGTTACATAAACAATGTATAGCCTAAATTGCATAAGCTACAGTATTGCAACTAAGCAGACAGTGCTCTCTCTCGCTCTCATCTCTGCAGACAGATGCTCTAGATCTCGCTATTCTATCTCTCTCTCTCTCTCTCTCTAGCTCTCGTATCTCTCTCTCTAGTCTCTCTCTCTCTCTCTCTCTCTCTCTCTCTCTCTCTCTCTCTCTCTCTCTCTCTCTCTCTCTCTCATGAATATTACATTTTGTGAGGAAACTTTTCCACCAATAATTCCAATAGGTATTCCAAAATGTATTAAATTCAGGTTTACGAAAGTAAAGTAACTATAATCAGATTACTCGTTTTTCAAATGTAACGCGAGCTGAATACAGTTACTTGATTTTTGTATTCTGATTACGTAACGCCGTTACATGTATTCCATTACCACCCAACCCTTACACTCACGCTTCTATTTGCTAGCACTTCAACACATTTGACCTGATAGGCTAAGAGGCGGGACATCTCTATGCGGTGGACCACAACAGAGCCAGCCAGCTAACCAATCAGAGCAGACTGCGCTCTGGTTTCAGACAGAGGGTGAAAAGACATGTCACAGAAGAAGCACAAAATACAGATATGAATCTGAAAATGAGCATACGTATATGTGATCTTTAACTTTTCTTCATAAAAAAATTCAAGGGCATAATATCATCAAACCACAATTAAAATGGTAACATTTCTGAAATTCAGAGGAGAATACCATTAATATATAGTGTTTGTAGTGCAACAGTTTGTAAATAGTATTTTTCTCATGAAAAACAACTGTGGCATTATGCTATTGGCTAAATATCCCCAACTGGCATTCAAAGGGTTACACTTGAGTGTTAAAACACTTGGAAGTATGATCAGGACGTATGTTGATTTTACATTTAAATTCATTTAGCAGTTTTAAGAAACATGAACCATGTAACTCCTTTTGGACATCAGAGCAACCGATGCAGTACAACGGTTGTTCAAGCTTGCAAGAGCAAAAGTGAATGTAACAAACGTGTTGTTGCATTAATAGCATCCTCTCAACAGTAGGCTACATGAGAGTCTGTGTGAACTGAAAGACGTCTTCCAACAAGCGCCCCGATCATATTTACTACCTTTGATACAGAAAAGGCAAAAGATAAGCCGTGGAACGAGAGAAGTGAAAGCAGAAAGTGAATACAATCTTTATTTAGTCTGCTCAATTTCACGGATTTTAAAAATGTCACACGGTGTTGTTATACGCTGTTGTTTTGCCTTTGCAATGTTACGTTTAATGCGGGTGGGGGTTTCGAAGTGGGTTTCGCTGTAGATCCCCACCGTGAAAGAGGTTTTGAGCTCAAAATGGAAATCCTCAGATTAAGAGGAAATTGCCTGCAGGAGCCTTTTTCAGGCTGGGGCTGATATGTAGCTATATCGGCTTGCTGGGCTAGGTGAGATTAATCTAAAGGTGAGTGTGTGTGGAATCTGTGGATGTGTCACAGTGTTCGTGTCTCTGCTCATATGTTCACAAATCTGCTTGTGCACAGTGTATCTGCTGACGCAGGCCTGTCTGTGATTGATTTGGAGTTCTGAGAATCAATTGACTGCAAATCAAACTGAACCAGGGTCACGGAGAGAGGTGGAGAGGAAGTGACATCTGTAACCCCTCCATCTTTTATTACTCAACCGTTTCAGTCCACCAACTCCCGCTCTAGAGGAAAACGATTAGAGGATGAATTTATTTTTTAATGTTGAATTTTTCGGGTTGCATTTTTGTTTACCTTTTTTAAAATTCCATATGGTGCTCACTCTTTTTTCCCATCTGCAGTACAAACAACACGCTCCCCCTCTTTCACACACACTCGCTTCCTTCTTCTTCTTGTCTTTCCAGGATGAGGTGAACCAAATCATGGAAACAAATCTATGGCTCAGACATGTAAGTACAACACACACACACACACACACACACACACACACACACACACACACACACACACACACCTAACCCCATTTCGGGCTGGACAGAAATAGCGATCAGTGAAGAGTGAGAAAGGTGTTAACACTCAACTATACATTCTGAACAGACATCAATATGGGATGCCCCACTCTCTCCCTATGTTTATTTGTGTGTGTATGTGCGTGTGTGTGTGTGTGAGAGAACGTCATATATCACTGAAGTAAAAACTAAAGCAGGTGAGGCAAAACAAGAAACCAAGGCTAACCAAGGAAGACATTTGAATGCAATGGGCCATTGATCAATGCTAGCATCATGGTTAGTCACGCTCTGTCTCTTAGCGCATCAATAACCACGGACCCTGACCTCCTGACCCCCCCAAACCCTGCCTCCCCAACCATAAATCCAAATAGCACATGTTGCCTCTGTCCCCCAAACCACCAATTTAGCTCGACTAAATCTCTCTTTGACAAATATTTATAATTAAAGCCGCTTTTCATAATAAATATTGAACTTTTTTAACATTGACTCGTTGCCGCCAAACAGCTGCTGGATGCTGATGAGATTTAACGGTTGATAACATGATACTGTGATCTCTGCGCACTCCAATTAAAACGCTTTGAAAGGCCTGTATGGGCTGATCTTATTTGTTGTTTGTAATGGCTGAGCTGTTTATTTATAACAAGGCATCACTAATGATTAAGCTGTGTCAACACCACCGTCACTGATACAGACTTTGAATCGCAGCCAGGGGGGGGGTTTACAGTGTTAGCCATTTCAAAAAGCCCCCCCTTGATGAATTTATCGCGTCTGTACCACAGTAACACTGCAGGGGATTCCTTCTGTAGCAGCATGCAGTGTTTCTAAATGTGTTCACTGTATACTCAAAACAAGCTATACTGATACTTTTATGACATCGATTAGACAACTACATTTAAACAATGCAAAAATAATGCCGAATATAGGAATACTTTACCTGCCTCTTCGCTATAAGAATGTATTATTTCAATTTATTTACATTTTTGGTCATATTCCTCCTTTATTCCGTCTGGAGAGCAGGTTTGACTATCATGTTTGTTATGGCCTTATCTCCTAATAACCTTTGTAGAGTCCCTAACTTATTCTGTATTAGTGGTATTTATTTATCTTTTTTGAAAACTCCTTAGTCACTTTCTCTATTATTGACAATTATAGTCATGTGTTGGGAAAATACTGAATGTTCCTTCTATATCAGAGTAGCACATGATAACAGAGGCGCTACGTAGCTGTGTACGTAGCCGGATGTATGACTACATGGATGACGCTCATGAGACACTGTGTTGAAGTTATGATAGCTATGTTCCTAACGGTACGTCCACACTGCAGCTTTAAACAAATCTTCAACCGCTTCCAACGCTTCTCTGCCCATTGACTTTGAATGGGAATGACGTCACTTTGCCTCGCTTGTCGCCGAACTGCATTGTGGGGGAGCGAAGCGAAGATTTCCAGGATTTCCAGGATTTTCAGGATTCAAAAGTTGAGCAATGTTCTACTTTTGAAGCTGAGCTGGAAGCGTCAGCCAATCAAATCCCGTTTATGCAAATCTGACAGTAGAAGCGCAAGCCAATCAAACCGCGTGTAAGCAGGGAGAGCCAGACCGCAGTTAATTTCCTCATATTCCAAACGAGAAATTACGGTAGCAAATCACCCGGTTCTTTACGACCAGAACTATTAACGGGATACAAACCGGAGGAACCAGGCATGGAGGGAGGTGGCAGAGACAGTGGGTGAAACTGGTAGGTTTTCGCCTGTTTGGGGAGTTTATATATATATATATATTGCTCGCATAAAATCCCCGGGGTTTTTTTGCTTTGTATGTCGGGGGCGGGAGATTCATGTGATTGGTTGTTGGTCTCGTTGCTCGCAAAAAATCCCCAAGCTTTCAGACACGCCCAGCTCCAAGATTTTCAAGATTTTTGAAAAGCTGCAGTGTGGACGTACCGTAAGATTGCACGATGACACAGCCCCTAGAGAGATAGGCATATGACTGTCTGGTTTATTGCTTACGCAGGCCTTAGCTAATCTTAACTAATGTCAAAATACTGCTTTGAACCAGTATTCTTCCATCTTGTTGACTGTAACAATCTCTTGTATAAGCATGTCAAGAACTCTACTCTGGGAACTATTTGTCCTGTGTGCCCTGTGTGTGGTGATTACTTCCATTCTTGCAAGGATAATACATACATGTATCCTGATTTTGAAGATCAAGCCGGTGACGAGTGATATTTTTCTCATTATATTTGTATTGTTATATATTGTTGACTAAGATACATAGGGAATATGTGGGGTTTTTGTGACTCGCTGTATGCATTTATCATTACCATGATCAAATAACCATATAAAAAAAGATCGACCAATAAGGAATCCCATCTCTAGCCAATCATATAGCTCACGATAAAAATCCAGTGTAGCATGAAGTGGTTAATTAAACAGCTCCCAGGTCATAACTGGATATTAATCTGCCTTTGCTAATGAATTAATTCATCTTGAATGGCATGCAAATAGCCAAGACTAATGGATCCGCGGCTCATGAAATGTTACCCACAGGTATGTTGACAGCATAGCAAGTGTTCTTCTGTCAGTGAGCATTAACTCCTCTCCTCTCTGAGCTGCTCGTTGCTCAGCTGTATTGTAGATGTGTTATGTGTTATTTGCTTACTGAAGCTTTGTGATTCTTTTTATAGTGAGGCCTTGCATTAAAGAAATACATGTTTGCTTGTTACGACTTTGAACAAGCAATGAAAGCCCTCAGATACTCCTTGAAACTCTGTCGATGGGCGTTAGATTCCTTGCGACATTATCCCTATTTGGCGCTACTGTAAAACATCAAAGGAAGTTCTGCTTGAGGTATAAATATGTATTGCAAAATATTCCCACAAAGGCGAATGTCTCCAGTGAATAATACCGTCTGCAGTGTACAATGAAAAATGCAAAACAGATGGTTGGCTCGGCAGTGTGCTCTAAATGAGGTTTCTCTTCTTCTCTCTCTCAGATTTGGAATGACTACAAGCTGCGGTGGATGCCCAGAGAGTTTGACGGGATCGAGTTCATTAGAGTTCCATCCAACAAGATCTGGAGACCCGACATCGTGCTCTACAACAAGTGAGACTGTCAAACCATTATCATCATCATTATCACGTTTGTTCACTCTTATTGCAATCACTATTGAGATTGAATACCTGAAAATCAATAGGTTGGTTTTCAAAAAGAGTCTTCTTATTACCAAAGCCAATAATTGCTGTTGCCTAATTAGGAGCGAAATTAGAATCAGCAGGATGTTATTGTACTGCAAATCAGGCATCTCCACCAGGCAAAAACTAGTACGTTGGCATAGACATCAGTGTTAAAATGCTAATTCACCCGCGTGATTGGTTATGGAAAATGTAATGACCCCTACCACCACTTCAGGGCAGGGGCCATTACATTGTATGGAGTTGACAGTGTCAACAAATACATGACGGATCAGAATATGCTCATGTGAAACATTTTGTAACGTTCAAACGAGCCCTGACAGAAAACAACCCCAAATGTGTCTTTTTGGCAGGAAAACTTTAGTTGATAACGTCACCGAAATATTACATAAATTCCCAATTCTTTGGAGCCCAAATGTCCAGAGATGGAAGAAGTAGTCAACTTATTTACTTAAGTAAAACAAGCAATACCAAATTGAAGAAATACTGTCACAAGCAAAAGTCCTGCATTCAATACCTTACGTAAAAGTACTCATTATGTGTAATATTCAATTTCAGAATCATACATGTAACTAGATCATGTTGTTGGTGTCAGGGTGGAGTGAAGCAGGCAGGACCCAAATAAAGATTACACAGAAAATACCTTTATTTCAAGGTTTACACAGTGACAAACAGAACACTACCCCGTCAACACAGTCACAGACAAACAAGGAACTAACAAAGACAGACAGAAAAACCAGAACTTAAACACACACAAGACTAATCAAAGAAACAAGAGACAGGTGAGGAGGGAGGAGAAAACACAGGGGCACAAGGTGAACACAATCGGGTAATCAGACAGGAGGGAACACAGACAGAAAGCAACAAGCAAGACAGGGGGTGAACACTTTTCAAAATAAAACCGGAAACCAAAGACAGAAAAAGACAAAACAAAACACAGACAGATCGTGACAGTTGTTGTATTTATGTCTTCATCGCAGCTGGTAAAGGAGGAGCTCATTGTCAGTGTACTGTACTGTATACTTCTACTGGATATCTTAAACTATAATTATATATTATGTAATAGATTTGATTGATAATGTGTTTTTTGTATTTTCTAAAATCGAAATCGGTATAGTTACTCAAGCTGTCAGATAAAGTAAAAAAAAAAGTGGAGTAAAAAAGTACAATACTGACTCTAAAATGTAGTGGAATCATAAAGTAGTGTAAAATGAAAACATTGAGGTAAATTAAAAAGGAATCAAAATTGTACAGTACTTGAGTAAATGTTATATATTTAATTCAACCACTTCTAATGTCTTTTATACCTCTAGCTGCTGTAGGTGCAACTGACTGGTCTGTAATTACAACACAATTGTCTGTTGTTCAGGGTCAGTTTATGCTGTGCTCCAGTTTTTCAGGCAAATTTATTATATCCTCAATATCAACTCATAATGTTAATCAAAGGCAATTTTGTATTTCTCAATGATGCATAATGTGGCTTCATTGTCCTCTGTCTTTTAATCCTAATCTCTTCTTTCTTGCCTCCATTAACTCCGCTTTATATTTTCTCCCCCGCTCTTTTGTTCTCCGCCTTCATTTTCTCCTCGCCTTTGTCTGGCGTCTCTGCCTCCTTCTTTGTATCCTATGCAAAACCCACATACGCTCGTATCACATCGCCTCATATCCCTCCTTCCATTGGACTCCTTCCGCTTGATTACACACAAACACACACACACGTCATGCAGCGCTGTAGGTGATTTCCTGGTTGAGGATAAGACCAAGGCTCTGCTGAAGTTTGATGGTACCATCACCTGGGTCCCTCCAGCCATTTTTAAGTCTTCCTGTCCCATGGACATCACCTACTTCCCCTTCGACTATCAGAACTGCTCCATGAAGTTCGGCTCCTGGACTTATGACAAAGCCAAGATTGACCTGGTGCTAATCGGGTCTAAGGTCAGTTTTTGTGATTGTCTTCCAAGTCTGGCGTTACGATCAACAATTTATATATTTCATTTTTTGCTTCATTCTGTCCTACCTCAAAGAAAAGCACTCTTACATTATTCTGTTAGATACTGCATGCATCAACCCTAGGGATCATATATTAGGTTTCATTAACGATTTGCACTACCTTTGAAAGCCTGTGAAAACAGTCAGATGTTTTCAGTCAACATGTTCTCATACCCAATTCAAACAACAACTTTGTCAGACCTTTTGTCATCATTTTTTTATGTACTGGGTAACCGTTTGGCATGAAACATATTACTACTTGGTTAGCTTAAAGGTGGGGTAGGTAAGTTTCAGAAACCAGCTCAAGTGCACTAAAATTTGAAAGTACACAGCCGAAAAGAATCCGCCCCTTCCTTCAGACTTCCTTACAGAGCACCTCCTCCAACACACATGAACGTGCACATGACGTCAGCAGACTGGTGAAAGTGGCCGCCTGTTGCTGGCGAGTCATTGAAGTACTGATGCAATGCACGCCCAATGAGGGCACGAGATACATTTGTGCGTGCACGAGATGGAAGGCTGACAGACAGGGCCGCAATCCAATCCGTTTAGCCGGCCCGGCTAAACGGATTGGATTTACTTTTTACAGTATTACGGCTTCCACAGATGACATTTTTTTATGGATTTTTTGTCAAAGCACTTCAGATATTCATTGCTATCGGGATGTTAAGAGCATTCCATGGAATATAACAAAAAGTGTATCTCGAGCCGGTTTCTGAAACTTACCTACCCCACCTTTAAGGTTAAAATAAATAACCTTCAGTTGTTACTAGTAGGCCTAGTTCTTGCTAAGTTAGTTTAGTCATAATTACTGTGAGGCAGCTCTGTGTCAAGAACTGATGCTAGAGGAAAGCATCTAGCATACTAGTTTAACAGGTGGGACCACTACACAAATCCCATGTTTAAAGTGTTGGGAGTAGTGATGTGAAGACTAAAACTTGTCTTACAGAGTCAGATCCTTTAAGTTTAAACACGTAAGTGCATTGCAAGGTTTTCTATCATGTTTCATGATTCATCTAATCCTTTCCTTTACTTTTCGTTATCATGCAAATACTGGAAATAAAAATACGCTCTGAGATTCTCAAAACAAAAAAGGCAACTTTTTGGTGTTACAGTTTTTACCACTTAAAACCTGTTAACCCCCGAGCCTGTTTTCCAGGTCTCAGGCTCGAAAATGACATTTCCAGAACAAATTACCATATCTTCCCTTCTAAAAGGGGAAAATGAATAATCTTTTTTCTCAAAGTAATGATAAACCTGTGAGTTGGATGTAGAAAAGTCAGAATCAATATAGATGTTTTTTATTTTAAAGAAAATTCAGATTGAACATAGTAAACAACTGTAAATTATAGTGTCCGTCCAAAAATTCTTTTTTACTTATAGTGAAAACTACCCTTGGATGATGGGTTAGTAGACTAAAAGCTTTAGGAATCCAAAGTACAACATATAATAAGTACCCTGTATCAAGATCGATGCAAAACAAGTGAAATGTGCCCTTTTTAGAGAGATTTAGCAACAAAAAAAACACTTCTGAGGTCATTTGGGTGGATTTGACCTATCTCTGGCCCCCCTTGGTCGATTTTGATGATTGACATCTCTTTCTAACTGTCAGAGCCAATGGAATCGAGGAAAAGTTCCACGTACACACACAGGTTACCAAATAAGGAGTGAGAGAGACGCGTAGAAAAACCGGAAGCTGCGCTAACCTCTGGTGGCTACCATTAGCAGCTAATTGTTATTCTCCAATTTTTGCATACAAATTTAATTATGGATTATCAATAATTTTTTCAAAGTGACAGACACATTGGATTAACGATTAACCTATGGATTAACCTTCAGCCGCGTTTTTTTCTCGTTTTAATGCCATTGAACACGACTTTTGATCAGAATAACAGCTAAGGTGAGCATATCTCCGTGTTTTGCTACCTAAAGCTACGTCGTGTGTTGTCTGTATTTGCTTCCCCTGTCACGAGTTCTGATCGCTCAGTGATGATCCTTATATTTCTATAATCTGTGGACTCTCATGATGTTAGCTAAGCTTGTTTGTGCAGATCCAATAAGTATATCGATCGGTATAGCTAGACATTAAGATTTTTTTGCTCAGGGCAGATTCAGAGGGTCAGCGTTAGTCTTGTGTAATTATTTTCTAAAAATGGTTCATATCATCAGTTAGCTGAGTTTCTTCCCGTTACATGGATATGAAACATTCATAGTTTATGAAATATTAAGAAGCCCTCAGACGCTGTTTCCTGCAGATGAAGCGTTTTTCCGCCCGGGGGCGGGGGGATGGGGTTCAACAGGTAGATGCAGTGTAAGCAAAACCCTATGGTCAAATTGAGTGGGAAAACGTAAAAAGTTGATACAAGCTGGGAGTGAGAATAGGTTGAGAATAAGATGAAAGTTGAATACAATTACACTGTAGTTTAAAGAGGCCCTATTATCTCTTTCCTGTAGTGTGTTATATAGGTTTTTGTTCATGTAAAGGATCTGCAAAGGCTAAAATCACAAATAACCCTCCAGAGGGAGTTTTTCTCCCACACGCCTGAAACAACTCAATTGGACTCCTTTGTTTGCTTCATAATGTTACATAATGACATCAATATGTAACACTAACGCTTCTATTGTATAGCACCCCAAAACGTTGTATGTGATTTGCTAGGGGGCGGGAAAATTCCGACACATCTTTAAGCGGTTGACCAGTCAAATCAGAGCCGGCCAGCTAACCAATCAGAGCAGGCTGGGCTCTGGTTTCAGACAGAGGGTGAAAAGAGGTGCTGCCGCAAAGGAAGTATGAGAAAGATAAAGACCTTTTTGAACATTTAATCATGTGATCATGTAACAGTAAAGGCTCAAAACACAAATATGAACCTAAACATTGCATAATATGTTGAACCATTTTTTGCCTACTTGGAGGGCTTCTTGTGGACAATATGTGGCTTCATTTGCATGTATGTCTTATTTCCCTCTTCACTTTCTATGTAACATTTCTGTAAGACCTGTAAACATCGCAAGACGGCCTTATTATCTGTAAACTACAGTGATCGCGCCCTCTTGCAGCGACTTACAGTCTGTGGGGTGCATGTGGACATGAAACCCAGGTGAAAGTCAGTTTGTTTTGCATATTCTCACAAATCCATATTCATAAGGATTAACCATACCATATGTATTGTATTGTTGATGGTGGCCTTTTCAAAATGGTAAGTTGACTCTGAATGTTGTTCGGATCATTTCATGAATTGATTTTAAGATCTCTATCCATCACTAAGGTGAACCTGAAAGATTTCTGGGAGAGTGGCGAGTGGGAAATCATTGACGCTCCTGGCTACAAGCATGATATCAAGTACAACTGCTGTGAGGAGATCTACCCAGACATCACCTACTCCTTCTACATCAGGCGCTTGCCACTCTTCTACACCATCAACCTCATCATCCCCTGCCTCCTCATCTCTTTCCTCACAGTGCTGGTTTTCTATCTCCCGTCCGACTGTGGTGAGAAGGTCACGCTCTGTATCTCCGTCCTGCTCTCCCTCACTGTGTTCCTGCTCGTTATCACCGAGACCATCCCCTCCACGTCGCTGGTCATCCCGCTCATTGGAGAGTACCTGCTCTTTACAATGATTTTTGTCACGCTCAGCATCGTCATCACCGTGTTCGTGTTGAACGTTCACTACCGCACGCCAATGACCCACACTATGCCGGATTGGGTGCGCTCGGTGTTTCTCAGAGTGCTACCGAGGATCATGCTGATGCGGAGACCGATTGACGAGGACAGCAAGACTGGGGGGTTGGACAGCAGTGGGGAGGCAGGAGGAGCTGGAGGGGGAGGAGGAGGCGGAGGAGGGAAAGGAGGGAAAGGAGGGAAGAAGAGGAAGAATAGCTTGCTGCAGGTAAGGCGTCCCCTTCCTAAATGTTTGATTCACTTGAACTCTATGCAACACCATGTTCATACTTTATTGGTTCTGTCGTCCAAATAATTGTACCTCAGAATCCAATGCGAGAGACCAATGTGTTTTATTATTATTTTATTTTTATTTTAACATTTGTGAGACAAATTTGATTTTGTTCCATTGGTGCCAAAAGATCACGCTAATTCCTAACGGGGCAAACAAAGAAAAGACAATATCATGAAGCTAGTGCTTAGCTACCTACAGCACAATCATTACTGTCCGATCCTCGTACTTTCTTTGTTTGGCCATCAGTACATTCCATTCCCGATTCCAAGCTGTTCTGCCAACACCTGACACACTCTTTATTTCTTCTGCATCTCTTTATACTTGACTTTGTTTGCCGTGAAGTGCTTTATGCTGGGCGACAAAGATATTATTTTCGATGATGACAACAATTCTTTATAGATTATTTAACATTCTAGTAATGTAGTCTAGACCGAGGCAATAGTTTTGGCCTTTTAGAGAACAATTTTCTAATTACATTTTGTATTAGCATTATCTTATAAAAAACAAAGGTTGAAAGAGTATTAAATCAGCTTTGCTACACCAAGTAGTCCTGACATTGCTCAATGCATGCACGGGTCAGTCGCACCAACCGGTCCCTTATGAGAGCTGAACCGCCCAACATGAAAATATTTGAGTAGTTCAACCACCCGTACCTAAACCAACGGCAGTCTTTATGGGTTGTAGTTGCCCAAGACTGAGGATTGTTTATACTGAACAAACAGTTGTGCATGGTGAGTGTGTGTATCAGTGTGTTTAAGAGAGAAATAGGAAGAGGAAAGGTGGAAAGGTGGAAAGTGACAAAAAATATAAAATAATCGTCTTGGTCTTTTTTCATTAACGATATTGATTTCAAGCACTTACACTACAGCGGGAAAAGTTGCAAGGGTAGGTAACTGAACATTTTCCTAAAGTTATAATCAAAACATATCTCTTGACAAAATATATTCGCCCATTTGGGAATCAGATTACCTTAAGCAACACACTGAGTGCCTCTAACGTTTGATAGCTTGCTTGTCAGACCATGCAATAGTCTTCCATCTTCAAATGCTCTTGTAAATCCCTTTGGGCAACTCATATCCTGTAAGTACTGGCAGGTAAATCCACTAAAAAACGTTTCTGTTCTGGTAAAGAATTTGGACACAGTCTGATCTAATAAAGACTTTATGATCATTGCTGAACTCTGAGGAAGCACTCTGAAAGAAACAAGTCTCTCCTTCATACACCTACTGCACAGATGTATCCCATGTATGTTTTATATGAAATGATCCTTTGAATGTTGACTGTGTGCCGAAGCAGATGTCCAACTCTTTATGCAAACTCTGGTTGTGATCCCTAGCAGGTCGGAGGAGGCTCCCTCAACTGCTTGGAGTTCGGGGACAGTAAGTTCTCGTCCGTGGACGGCTGCACTGGGAATAAATGCACTTGCCCCTGCCAGCATGGGAAGGAGACCCCAGATACACCAGACTTGGGGAAGATAACACGTCAGCTGAGTCCAACAAGCATCAGCACGGTGGTGGCCTTTTCTGTGCTGTCGCCTGAGGTCAAACAGGCCATCGAGAGCGTCAAGTACATCGCTGAGAACATGAGGAGTCGCAACAAGGCCAAAGAAGTGAGTCATTATTTTCTATCACTGTACAGAGTGTTGCTGGAATGAGTCCCTAAACCTGGGAATTAGTCAGCGTTTGTGCATTTCCAGTTTCCTGTTCTACAAGTCATTGGGTTATTTGGTTCATGACTGAAATAAGGACTTATGATGCTGATTCAGAGCAGGCGTGCAGAATAGAAGGAAGGATGCAGCAAAGAGCAAACTAATTAAAACCAAAAACAACGAAAACTGAATCATTTTGAACAATGGCGCATTTTACTAAAGTTTGATGACTTCAGACTGGAGTAAAAATCAAAACAGGCTGACTAATAATGCCAATTTAAATATTTAGTATGTCAGATAGCGCTCAGCTCTTCACAAAACGACTGAGGGCATCTTGGCAAAGATGGTGGTTCTCAGGAGACCATTAGACTGGGAAATAAAAGCTCCCTAAAAAACAGGGCATAGCATGGAAAATACCGTTGTCTGTTTGGGCACAATGCAGTTCCAATTGTTGATGACATTTATCTCATCGTAATATTGGATTACATTGCAGTGGCTGTGTCCTATCAATGCCATTGTTTTTATTTAAAATGCTTCAACAACATGACATTTGTATCAGACACAAGTACTGGCACAAGCAAAAAATAGGACTCAAGAGCACAACCAGGCAAAAAGGTTTAGTCAAGCGTTTAATCAAAAAAGGCAAACATAATACAGGCAAAGATCCAAAATGAACAGACTGGAAGCAACGAAAAAACAACCAACTAAGTTGGTGGAAAAAGACTATTACAGCAACAAAAAAACAACCAACTAAGTTGGTAAAAACGTGTAACAGCTAGGACTGTAGCTTACTTTTAGGAGAGTCTCTTGGAGCACTTCATGCAAGACAGACCAGACGAACTGACACTGACCAAGGCAACAGCACAGACTAAATACACAGGGGAGGAGTAATGATTAGGGACAGCTGAGGCGCATTGAGGCCAGGCAGGGGATTAACAGGGAAGGAAAACACACCAGGTGAGGGAGTGAGGCGATCAGCAGGACCCGGATGTGACCATTTGACCTGTGTTGCCAAAATACAATGACGATTGGCAATACATTAAAGTAACACAAGTAGAAAGGGGAACAACATTATTTAATATAATAAAAAAAGAGAGAACATTTGCACTAATTTTTCAAGTTAATCTTCTTAATAAACAAGTAGATTTTAGAAAGGATAATACGAGATATGTATTATCAAAATATAGTTGTTTTACCAGGGGAGCAAAAGTTGTGGAAGACATTCAGAGTCATGCTTTAACAATACCCTGCAGGCAACCTTTGTTTTTGAGGTATTAGTAACTCATACACGCTGACAAAGGGGAATGAAACAGGAAAAAAAACGTTCATGAAAGTCCAAAGCATGCACTGCAGGGCTTTTCTAGAATCCCGAAGGTCAGCTAGTCATGAATATTAAAAACAACTCAACAACACTCTGTGAACTCCTTAACTGCAGAGCCACGATCAGGGTCATCACTGCTGGTATAAAGTACAATGACAGAATTGTCTTCTAACTTAAGGATACCTCTCCTATTGGCTTTTTGCACAGATTAGTGTACAAGACAAATAAAATGCAAGAGGACGCCCCTCTGATTGATCTGATTAAACAGCATTGCCCCCAGCAAACATTTCAGGCCAGGTTCAATGTTGAGAATGCTCTCTAACATTAATGGTACAATGTGTTCCTGGATAAAAGAAAATCAAATAAACCATATTAATAATGGGGATAATGAATCCATTAAACTGTAAATATCAGCATTGAAAAGGAGATGTTTATAACTGTCTATACGTCCACTTACTATTTGTTGTAATTGGTTTCATTATTTATGATGGCACTAAAGATCAAAGACCAAATCACGAGCCTGCGAAACCTTAAAGGGGAATCCTGGTTTGATGCAACATAGCTCTTATTTTTTGGGGTTTGTACCATGACGATAATAACTAATATTGCATCAGGCAATACAGTAATAAGAATTCAACAAAAACAGATACATTGCCTTTTTCATGACAGACATGTTGACTGGTTGTAAAAGGAAAGACCAGGTGTAATTAATAACCCAAATAATTGCTCTCATTCAATAAATCCCAGTGATCCAGCATGCATATCAGGCAGAAGACATGTTGACAGAGGTGTTAATGATAGCATTGAGTGTGTCACAGTCAAATAAATGGCACTGTGACAGAGAGCCAGCAGGCACAATAACATGACTCTGATATTGAAACCACTAAATGGATTTTAGCTATCCCTAATTTGATTATTCACACCTTTCATGTCATAATATCTGCTGTAATAAGGGTCTATCAAGCAGATATTAGACAAAGCCTCACAATAGCCAAACATGTCTTTAGACAAAACATACATCACATTTTAGACATTTTCCTATAGATTATTATTGAAATCAGTTTTAAAGTTACGACAGTCTGGTTAAACTATTGGCTTGTTTACAACCTGTCTTATCTATGAACAAGAGAATAGACCATTCCCACATACAAAATAAATCTACTGTCATAGTTTAAATACTGAATAAAAATACACTGATACAGTAGATGCTACTCCACTTATTCAGCCCTAAAACAAATGACGGCCAACTGGTATATGGAGAAAGTTAACACTAGGGTGACATGTGACTGGATTTTAACATGCATTCACTATTATAGATCTTGATTTCATTTGTGAAACCTAAATGCTAAGTATTAAAATACAGCACCATTTCATTTATGAGGGGTTGTCTTTCATGATGCTGGCTACAAATGGTGTAATGGGAGCATGTGTAACTGTAAAGGTCTAAACTGTGGCGTGCAGCAAGGTAGATGTCTTGGACCACTACTGTTATCTATCTTTACAAATGATTTGCCATATGGTTTACATGAAGGAATTATACCACTATATGCACATGCTTCTACACTGTATTGGTAGCCAATACTAATGGAAATTAGATACTGAGTTAGTTGGTACATAACATCAGATCCAAATCCACTTTTCTGGGATCTAGTCATAAACGTATCTATGCCTATTCTGTGTCTCTAGGTAACGTATACAAAAGGAGGGTATGGTTAAATAACTGTGGGATAATAGGGGCACATGGCCCAAGGTCAAATTTGAACTCCGGTCCCCAACATGAAGACCAAGTGTACATGGGCCTCCAGCTCTACCAACTGACAAAGCCCTATTCTTGAAGTGTATCGAATTTAAAGTAACAAATGTGCTTATTATGCAGTCTCTTGTAAATACAACTTGACAATTGTGAGCTTTACCATTACCATACAGTTGTTGTGAGTTGTTATATTCAAGTGTTCCTATACTTTATATAAACCTACAGCTGCAAAGCAAACTCAGAAAGTGTGTTGATGCATAATGCATTTCTGCAAAAGAGAGCTGTAATGTCATTCTGTGCATTGCTGCGGATCCTAACCTGCACCATAAGTTCACAGTAGTCTAAGTTGGAACCAAATCATTTTAGATTTGAGAGCTCTGCCTCCTCTCTTTCCCTCTATTATAACTACAGTGGGTGAAATCTCCCAATGGGGGGAAGCAGCCCTTTGATATGCAAAACTTGTGGCTCGATCAGCTTTGTCAAAACGCCTGTCGTTTCTTCTGACACTGTGTTTTGAATGTGATTATCACAGAAATGCCCTGCTGTGTAAATAATGTATCAGATTTCTGTTCCTTCACAAGAAATCTTTAACTCTGATTTGTCTTTTCTTCTTTTCCCTTCTATCAACTGTTTCTTGTTATCCTTACCTCATCCCATCGACTTCCACCAACCTCCTACTCTGAGAGTTTGAATCAAGTGTTTCCTCGCACCTTTACTGTCCTGCTTTTTTAAAAACCCTCTCCTCACATTTCATATTTCATTTGTCACTGCCGACACTTTTATCTGTCTTCTCTCATCCGCTGTTTTGTCCCCTCACCTGCTCACAGGTGGAGGATGACTGGAAGTACGTCGCCATGGTGATCGATAGGATCTTCCTTTGGGTGTTTGTGACCGTATGTGTCCTGGGAACTGTGGGCCTCTTCCTCCAGCCGCTTTGTGGCTTTGTTTCATAACTTCTAAACTAACAGGGTTCACTGTCGCCCTGTGTCGAACAATCCTGAACTATTGACGAACTTTTAGTTCTCAGTTGACCAATCAGAAGACAGAGTCCTAAAGCACAAATTGGTGTGCAAGTTTTGCTTCTTGCCTTTTGCAAAAATATCGAAACAGTGACGTTGGGTTTACAGTTTTGGCACTGGCTGGTAAAGTGCGTAACAGAAACAAAGGTTCTAATTTTTATATATTTTAAGGCTGCTTTACCTTAACAATCATTATCATAAAAACCTTTAGAATACCTTATAAAGCCTTTGGATGAACTTCAAAGAAATCAAGGGGGTAATGTGTTCTACTAAGTGTGCCCTTTTAACAAAGTTGACCATTTTTAACAAGAAAATAAAACATTAAAAAAATATATCTAGTTCATTGATCACAGCTTTTAAATGTATCTCTGTAATCTGTAATGTTTTGCTAGGTGTGTCTGAATGTGTATGTTGTAGAGCCCAGAGATGATTAAACAGCAACAATAGGCAATTACTGTGATTTGGTTCTTGTTAGCAATGTGTACACACAGAAATGGTTTCTATTGCATAGAAAAAAGCGGTAATTTACTTTTGACTGATTCTTTATTTACTGCGTTTAAGCCTTGTAGTGTTGATTAAGCCAGCCAGGACTCCTGGAAATGACTTTCTCATACAACTAAAGTGTGTTGTCACTTACATTTGAAGGGGTACATATTTTGTCTCAGATTACTTTTGTTTTGGTATCACAGATACAATACTAATGAGTGAATGGACGGAGGACAGTGTGGATTGGTGGGTAATGTTCAGAAAGGGGTTTGAGTCCCGTGTCGTTGACATTTGAGGTCAAAAGTCCCCGCTGAGCTGACGGATGACTGTCATGCCCACTCCCGAGTCTGATCCATCACACTGCTGCTCACTGTCAAAGCCAATCGCATTCGCTGCCACCTTTGTGTCATTCACAATTAGAGCTCCGATTCCTGTTGCGCTTGGCAGCAGTTTTGACAAGTAAGGGGAGGCTGTTTTTTTTCCTACTGATTAGAAAACCATGTGTTCATAAATGTTCTTTCTGATTAATGTTCCACACGTTAATTGGTTGGCCTGGTCAAAATTGGATTAAATGCTTCTTGATTAGCTGTCCCTGAAATAGCATTTCATCTATTAATTCACAAGAAGATTCTATCAACCAATATTATGGCTATTTATTTAAGCTCTCTTTTTCTCTTGTCACTTTTGGATTACATTTACCATTACAAACCAATGCAAGAAACATGCATGACAGAAATTTAGATTGCTTTGACCACGGGAATATTATCGGTAGATCACAGCACTATAAATGTTCTGCTTCATTTCCTGAATTTCATTTATCCCCATTTGTATTGTTATATGATTAAGAAATGCACACCTCATGCTGAAGGGAGCAAACAGGTTTGTACAAGTGATACCTTTCTTTTGTCTTTGAAATAAAATCAATATTTGTTCAAATAAAGTTACAGTTTTACTGGCAGCAGTTAAATAAACTCAACTTGTGCATTTGAACAAACACTTTCATGTTCATGGGAGACATGGTTGTGCACATACATAAACACAGGACGTTTGCCATGATATTTCTTTTTTCCATTATGCATAAAACAGCCACAGTTGCGTCGTCTAATTAAAATCCAGACATGTTAGTGGTATTCAGAGTTTCAGACATCATTTCATTGTTGAGATCAAATGCATCATTTTGTATGACATTCCCACATAACCACATTTATCTCTCAGAGGTTCGTTCTTCCAGCTGTTGGTTTCATGTGAGTTTGTAATGAGTAAGGGAGGATTTTACTTTTGCACAAGATTTATATTTGATCAAATCAATCCTTGCCGACGTGTTGTGCTCATTGTGTGCTATCCTACAGTAAATGATACACGGTGTGTCTGTAACCACTTCCTCTGTTCACTCATTTACTACTAGCAAATTAACACAATAATGGTTCGGAGCTGCTCAACAGTCTTTTTAAAATGTTACCATTTTGGGACTGGCTAAAAGGGAGAAAAAAAATGCAATTATCTTTTTTCATGGAGAGCAACTATATAGTTCAGACATTTGGCACAATTAACACTAAATACAATGGTTGATTATAGTGATTACAGATGCAGATTGACACACTTTCAATTCAATTATCACTTCAGAGAAAGCACTCCAGCGCCTGCCCGTAAGGCTCCAGAACATGTCAAACCCAGTATTAACCAAACACAAATTCATTTGGACTCCTCATGTTCTTCCAGCTCTTCTTTCTGGGCATCTCTTTGGAGGACGTTATAGACCTCTTTATCTGCCTTGAAACCAGTTCATCCATCTTTTTGTGATTCTAAGGGTCATAATCTAACACATCCATCAGCTCCTGGATCAGCTCCAGCTCTTCTTGCAGCATGAGACCATTTTCTTTGTTCTGGATCATGGGTATTTTTGCTTGTGCACATTACTTCCAGGTCTGCTCTTTCTCAAAAGCATTGTTGAGGAACTCTAACTTTGGATTGTTTCTCTTTGGACTCTGTGTCCAGCCTGGTAGAGTAACCTTCTCCTCCTGGCAGTCAATGTGCCGCTCTTCATCCTGGAGGTGAGTCTTTAACACCTCGACCTGGGTATTTAGAGCCTTGTTTTATGTCCTGCTGTCCTTCAGCTGCCTGGCCCAGGTTTTGAAGCCTAAAGATGACCTGTTCAGCTTTAAAGTCATGGTTCAGTTGTTGTTTGTCTCTGATTCAAGTTTGTTGTCCCTATTCAAATTTCAAAGTGGTCGGTTAAACTGTAAATTTGTAATACTCACATTACTAATTCAGTGTAATACATTGATGGTGAATTAATTCTATTAGATGTGCCAATGTTCATTCATGATTATACTAATGGCAACCCTGTGTTGTACAACGACAATAAATCAACCTTAAACCTACTTGTAGCTCCAATAACATAACTAAAAAGTAAAAAGCGAACACACACATTGAAAACCCATCCTCCAACCCGACCATTACACACTCTATGAATGTCTCCTTGAATTCCTCCATTGAAGACATAAATCTCTAATGCAAAATAGCTGGGTATGAATCGTTATTCATGAGAGACATGGCGGCACGTGCAAACGCACAGACTTTGGAGGAGATCAGAGAGCCGTTTGACTCACTGGATAATCTCTTCTATGGTATGTTATGGTGCCATCAGAGCATGAAACACACGGCTGTAGCCCAGAGGCTGAGAGGCCTCAGTGCTAGGGAGCAGGGACAGCTAGCAGGGACAGCTAGCAGGGACATGAAGGCTGGTCTAGAAGAGGACACTCTGTACATGCCGTGTGTGACTAAATGCCACATTACATAACTAATTGTTGCCCAGTGGATATAGAGCTAATAAAACATCCGCATTTAAATGCTATCCCTGTTTTTATATTCTTCACCAAATATTTGAGGTATTTATTTGATATTGGCTGAACAGTAGTAACAGTAATATTGTCTAAATTTTGATAACAGTGTAGAACAAGACTGGTGAAGCAGTGTTTTCAGGACTTAGTGTTGCCCTGCTGTCTGTAATTATTAGTAAGTGAATGGGTTTATTTGTTTCCCCGGTGTTCAGCGTAAATGTGTATGATGGATTAAGAACTGTCAGAGTGTCTAGTCCACTACGCAGTACAAATTACATACAGAATAATTTGAAACTCAATGCTTTTACAATAACAAACGAAACAACAGAGCAGCCTCTCTAAAATACGCATAATGAACAAATATTCTGCATGCTAAATGTGTCTGATGACTCATAGAGTCACAAGGGAGAGGAATGACTTCATATGAGGTGATAAAGGCAAAAAGCGCAATATCCTGAACCGCCCCCTGAAGCTTGCAATCATGCAAACATTGTGTGTGTGTGTGTGTGTGTGGTGTGTGTGTGTGTGTGTGTGTGGTGTGTGTGTGTGTGTGTGTGTGTGTGTGTGTGTGTGTGTGTGTGTGTGGTGTGGTGTGTGTGTGTGTGTGTGTGTGTGTGTGTGTGTGTGTGTGTGTGTGTGTGTGTGTGTGTGTGTGTGTGTGTGTGTGAGAGAGGGAGAGAGAGATATATATAAATACAATGATTTGTTGTTCCTTCAATGGTCTTACTTTGACAACACATTCTGTTTGATTTGTCATTGCAATCAAACTAATTGAAATTACATTTAAGAAAGAGAGGGGGGTTGTAAGACAACATTTTAATAAAGGGAAGCAGAAAACACTATGTATATACTATGTAAAAATACAGGAATAAAAACAACATGAGCAGGACATTTCATTTGATTTATATTATGTAAATGCACAGGTTCGGTGAAGCCTGTTCTGAATGTGTTGTATAAGTCTCACAAACCTGTATTAACCATAATTCTAATATTTAAAAAACGTATAATGTTCAATTTCAGCTTCATATATGTATTTTGTGCTTCTACTGTGACATGTTTACATGGTTTAATGTTCAAAAAGGTCTTTATTTTTCTTATACTGCCATTTACATGCACACAAACTTATATAACACACTACAGGAAAGGAACACCCCAAAAAGCATAATTAGGGCCTCTTTTGGAAATAGAGCTGAGTTACTCTACTGAGAAATATACATATTAGCTTTTAGTCCAAAAACCAACAATAACTTAAGTGAAAATAAAAACTAGACGCAGACTATTTCAAACGATATGACATTGATGACGTTCTTGGGTTCTGACAGCTGATGGAAAATAACAAAATATACTCTGATATAAATAAGTCATTTACTTTGTTTACAATTGTGAAGTCACACCCTGAACATGAAACAGAATGTGTGTAAATGGCAACCCAACCCCCCAGCCCCGCCACACACACCGAATACGATGACTTACTCTATTACTACACTTAAATCCAGAAGAAGCTTCGAGAGGTGAAAAACATAAATGGAGCAGCGTACAACAGCAGAGTGCCGTGTTCAAAAGAAGGCTCTTAGTAAGGGAGATACAATTAAATTGGGATGTCAAACAGATCTTGAATATCATTGTAAGGGGTGATTCATGTTCTATTTTCCATAGGATTTGCAAAACTGAACAAAGCTCAATCCTAATAGGAAATATTATCATATGTAATACAAATTTACATCTCAGTCCCTTTTTGCAAATTGCATATTCAATCATGTCACATGACTCTATGAAAAGCCAAGTTGGTTCAGTGTGACTGGTTTAATATTTTTATACAGTACTTAATTAGTTTTCATGCTGCTGAGGATTTATGATGAAATGTATATTTGATGAAGAGCACAGTTTGCACAGGGTGAATAAGAAGGCACATCTGACAAAATGAATGAGAGGGGTGATGACAATGTTACAAATTGTGTTAAACGTCCTAATTTTAGCATTGCAATAAAACAAGTGCACAGATATATGAGACCAAATTGTGTTATCTAAAGCTCTAATGCTCTCGGAGAGATTGTTCATGCTGATATAGTGGATGACAGAGAGTGCAAAACAGCTGAGCATCAGTTTCAAATACATTTTTGAACGGTTGGTTTCATTATGTAAACACTTGAGTAAAATGGTGTTAGGAGTTACGAGGGTGCCAGAAATACACTGCTCGATCCACTTGAGAACAAACACAGTTCATCAATTGCTCTCAATTTGTAAAGTTATTAGTATCATAAACAAACACACCCATATACCAACACAAACAACATCATGCAGACAATATATACATATTCAAACCTCACTTTTGTACATCTTTTTGAATCCTGTGTTGCTGATAACACATATTATTAATTTTACCAATTTTTTTAAACCAATTGGAAAGAAAGCTATTAAATCCCACAGTGGAAAACCCAAGGAGTAAATTATCTTTCTGATGCAAAAACAGCAACGTCTTGATGTCCTTCCAAAACTTGAAATACACATACAACTTGCCTGGCTCTTCTTTTTTCACATATATTACAACTACGGACTGACATGCGCACATTTATGAAGCACCTTGGAATAATCCTCCACCAACACACCCTAAGGGAGTAGGGGAGAGTGGGTAAGATGAGCCAGTGGGAGAGTTGACCCACCCCTTTTATTGAGTTAACTGTGCACATTTGTTGTCATGTGACCAAACATTCAGGAAGCAACCATCATTTATATTTAGCTGTGATGGAGATAAGCACATGGTAAAGTGGTAAATATGTTTTTGTTTACAATAAACTGCTTATCAAAGTACATGTCAGGTATAATCACTGTTGTTTCAAAGTACATTTTTCCTAGGTCTAAAAATATGTATCATACATGTTACTTATTTAGCAATGTGTAAAACCATGTAAATCATTTAGCTAGAAATTAGCATGAACGACTTAGCTCAACAGTGTTAAAAAAAAATGATGCTCATGTCTAAAGTTGAAGAAGTCGATTGGTCAATTTACCCCCAGGTAGCTCAATTTACCCCATGACTCGGATCAACTTACCCCTTAGAAGACATTTTTTTGTGAGAAGTCATATTTTCATGGCCTT